GACGGCAGACTGCGACCTCTACTAACTGTCAGCAGAAGTGAACTTTTCCTTTTTAATTTTGTGACTGCAGGGTATTTTGTTTCAGCAACAAGAAAAGTAACTAAGACACACACCTTCCTTCAGGCAGGTGCAAGCTGAGTTATGCGTCAGCGGGGGGAAGCAGGCAGGCCGGGTTGACCCGCTTGCTGCTAGAGCCCACCACCCCATGCCCAAGGCCACTGGTCACTGACTGCGTCATAGCGGTTCTCAGTTGTCTGGGCTTATGCTCAGAGCTGGGGTCTAGTTTGCGGTTTTGGCTGGGCACAAAAGCAGGACAGATGTGAAAGATTTAGGAAAACTGAGTCATTACTTAGTGAAAATGTCAAAATCAAGTCAATCTGAATTGGTGGAAGTGGTGTCTAGTATTTAAAAGTTCAAGGACGAGAGCTGGGGAGATAGCTTGGCAGTCTAAGTGCCTGCCTGGGAAGTTCAAGGACCTGGGTTTCATTCCCAGGACCACATGCTGTGCTGGCCCTGCTCCAAACCAGCTACTGAAACCAGACGTGGTGGTGCACGCCTGTAATCCCAGCGCTGGGGAGGCTGGACAGGAGGTTCACTATGAGTCCGAGCTGCATAGTGAGACCCTGTATCAAACAAACAAACAAACAAACAAACAAACAAACAAATAAATATTTAAAGAAAAGGTATTATTTCAAGGATAGGGTGGAGTACTTCTCTGAATTTTGGGTAGGAAAGGAAATTTCTGTAGGAGACATCTCCCCACTAGCTTTCCAAGTGTTTACCCTTTCCTTCCCTTCCCATGAGTGGCCCCTTCTCTGATCTTCTTGACAGTTTGTGCAGGCCACTGAGTGGCTCACAAGTGAAAGCCTTCTGCAGAGCTGGCAGTGATGTCAGTTTTCACGAGGGCCTGGAGGGGCCCGGAGAGGGAAGCAGCGGCACCAGGGGTGTCCGTCCTGCTCCCTCACCTGCCATCAAAGCAGCCAGTTCCTGGCTTAGGTTTGGTGTGGGCCTGGTGCCACAGATCAGCCATTGAGTGTGAAGATGGTGCCGCTGGTGGGGGCACTGTGTGGGCAGACTGACGCCCAGATTGTAATCAGGGAGAAATGCCTGCCAGGTGCCCGCAGCAGTTTGCAGAACCCACTCTTCCCACAGAGTGAGCTAGGTGCCTTTTAAGAGACCTAAGGGGGGTAAGTGGGGTATGTAGGGTTGTGTCCAAAACAGCCGCTCTCAGGTGTGGGCAGGGCTGAGACAATTGCAGTTCCTCTCCTTCAGAGACAAGGGCCCTGCTCCTTTCCAGGCCTGCTCTAAATTGGCTTCTTTCTCTCTTTTCTTTTCTTTTTTGTACAGAGTCTTACTATGCAGCTCAGACTCACAGTGATCTCCTGTTTTCAGCCTGCCCATGCCCTGTCTCAGTGGCTGGCTCAGTGCACCTGGGCACAGGGCTGGCGTAACATGCAATGCTGGGGATCGAACCCCAATCCTTGCTTTTGCCTAAGCATGTGCTCAGTTGCTGAGCTATCTCACCAGCCCCTTGCCTCCATTTCTGACGTCTGCTTGTTTGATGTCATGACTGATACAGATGGTATGGAGAAGGACAAAGGGCACAGTTATCTACCTAGGCAGACTGGCTTGTTAAGAGGAGAGGAAATAGCACAGAAGCTATGGGTGACTGGGTATCCCATGTGAGAAGAGATGTTCTGTGGGCACCGCTGAAATGAGAGCCTTCGGGGTTTTTCTCAAGAGGCAGCTCTAGGTCACAATGCTAGAGAAAAACCACACTGCCGGAGGAGACAGAGGCAGCTGAACTTTAACCATATGGTGTGGTTGAGCTGTCGTTCACCAACACAGCTTTGATTTCCTCTCTGCAGGCCAATTACCAATGCACTGCCCAGTGGCGAAAGCCCGCCAGAGGGTCCCAGGCAGGACGTGGCATGGCCGGGATGGTGTTGAGTCACCGCTCTGGGCATGTCATGGCACATCTGTGCTGTGCTTGTGTTCCAGGGTGCCACAGGACTCCTCAGGGACAGCAATGACTCTTGATTTGATTGCTGCCTCGGAGCAGTACACCTATGACTATGACTTTCCCAAAGCTGGCTTCCTCCTAGGTTGCTTTGGAAACCGTGCACATGTGTGCAGATGCCCCCAGCCTTCCCCAGTCTTTGCTTGCCGTTTGAGAGGCTGTGATGGTGGATTTCCCCTGTGCTCATGCGCTGTCTTAGTTACTTTTCTCATTGCTGAGACGGAATATTTGACACCCAAAGTTCAAAGAAGAAAGGTTTAACTGGCTCACCGTTGGGAAAGGTTTCAGCTGGAGCCAGGTAGGTGGCTCCAAGGCAGGGTGGCATGGCAGGGCCATCACGGAGGAGAAGCAGTTCACGGCAGGCAGAAGGTACATGCAGAGGAGCAGCCAGCGGCGGCAGCAGCTCTCTTTTGGTCTCTTACATTTTTTACCCTTAGGGCGGGAAGCACTCACACCCTTAATCCTCGCATCATACCACAAACCAATCTGGGCATCATGACTTTGATCCAGCCCCTCTGATAAGCCCCGCCTATGACCTGTGACCACATGAGGCTTTCTGGGGATGTCTAGACAAAAGCCGTAAAAAGCACCATGAGGGGCGGAGGGTCAGTCTGCGGCTAGGTCTCAATAGTCCAGCCGGATCAAGGCAATAGAAGGGTGGGGGCCAGAAGATGAGCCGGAGCCTCCCATCTGCGTACACTGCCACGAAAGAGCACACTGGCTTCAGTAGCAGCACTGAGCTCACCACTTGCCTGGCAGCCACGGAAGCTTGATTTTAACCTTGGTACAAACTCTACTTGTTATTTTCTGCAAAACTGAGGTGTACTTGCCCAGGGCTCCTGCTCACACATCTGGAGCCTCTGTGTGTGGAAAACAAGTGAAACCCTCCCTGGGCAGGCCACGTACAGCCCCCTCGCCCTCACTCCAGCTCCCATGCAGGACATAATCTCTGATTTGCCCAATCTTCAGAATGGGTACGTTACTACACCGAATTCCAGAGGAGCTATTGTCACTGGTGACAGTTGCTGCACAGAGTGGGAAGACCAAGCGCTGGGATAGGGCAGGGGTGGCGAACCCACGGCACTAGGACCCCGGTGGGCCCTTCGTCATCATCAAAGCTCTAGGCTCTTCACTATCACTGGTATAGGGAATTGATGGGCGCCTTCCACTAAGAGTCCGTTTCACTGATGTTGGGATGGTTTTATTTTGGTTTAATGAGGAGAAAATTGTTATGCTATTTGTGGGGAAGAAATAGTTTGTGAAAGGTCTTTCTCTCCTATTCCTCCAGAGCCCTGGGCCCACTGAGTCGCTTCCCTTTGCCTCCTTTCCCCTTCCTTCTGGGGACCCCTGCTAGGTAGGACACCTCTGTGTCGCTGTCCAGGGCTGGGGCACAGCGTGCCTCAGCACGGTGTCTGCTGTCCCGCCTGGAGTCCTGGTGGGCAGAGGGGCCTCAGCCTAGGGTCATGCCCTGAGTGGCGTGGGTCACTGAGCCCTTGGAGAATCAGATAAGCCGTGCACATCACCTCCAGGAGAATACTGTTTTCTTGCCCACCCCCAGTATTTCACATGCCATTTTAGGGAGTATGAGAAAGAAGTGTGGCCAAGAAGCAGGTTGCAAACTTCTGGTTGTTTTTGGCCCAGGGATCTTCTAGAAGTCTGAAGAAGTTATGGACCCTTCCTCAGAATGTTATAATAATAATAATAATATTATTATTATTATTATTATTATTAAACCCCGCAGATTTTTATGAGAAACTAATGATAATGAAATAGTTCTCAACATTTAAAACCTTTTTCTGATATAGAACCTACGAACTTTTCTATATATACACTAAATAGCAAGACTTAATGGTGAGTCTAACTACTGTAACTCTGAAGTAATGGTGAATGGAAAAGATATTTTACACAGACTGCCACTCAGTGGTCCAATGTGAAAATGTGTGGTGTCCCCTGGGGGCCCTGCCGGTTCTGCTGTGTGTGTGCGCCTTCCATTCATCAATGGAGGCAGCACTAAATTTCAGCTAGAGGTGGGCAAAAACCCAGGGCCGCGATGGCGAACCTGTTAGAGCTTTCAGTGACACCCACAGCCCCCTGCAGGGTGCGTGCCACGAGTTCGCCACCCCTGATGGAGTGCGCCTCCTCCCATCCAAGATCCTGGACCAGGGATTCCCCATGTGGTTACTGCGTGTGGGTTGGGTGCAGGAGCTCCTGTACCCTTCCCTGACCCAGGTGCTCTGAGACTGTCCTGATTTTGTACATTGAATAGGACAGGTCAAAGCAGACACTCGCAGCCATTGATGTCCTGCCCTCATACGTGCAGTGAGGGGGATGGGCGACAAGCAGCTTCCTGAGCTCAGAGGCAGTGACACCGGGAAGCCCTCTGTGAGGCTGCCCTGAGCTCGGGACGTGGGACTCTGCAGTGCCTCTGTCCCCTGGACCCAGTCTGAGAATCACACAGCGTCCATGTGTTGCTTCAGCCTCATCTTTCCAGGGCTGCAACCCTCAGTGGGGCTCCTACCTGGCAGTACCCCTTGATCCAGTAAGACCCCCTGGCTCACGTTTGCTCCTTATTCTCCCGCTGGCTTCATGAATGGGTCTAAAAATGCACACCTGTGTGAAAACACTTGGTGTAAGCTTTGGGGAGCTGGGAAGGCGCTTTGTGGCGCTTGCAAATATGAACAAGATCGCCTTGGGTTGTTGCTGAGAGACACTAGGGAAAAGCACAAGTTCTCCTTGGGTTGCTAGGTAGGACCCACGCCTGCACAGAGGATGAAAGATTCGCGTTCTAGACCACAGAAGGTGCTTTTCCTGACAGGTGGCGGGAGGGCACAAACTTCCTCAGAAGGCGCACTCAGAGCAGCTTCCCAGACAGAGAACCTCCCAGAAACAGGCTTCGTGGCTATTCTGCAGGCTTGCCGGGCTCTGACTGGCACCTGGACAGTGGCCTGTGCAAGGAGTCCGTGGCATAGCATCTGCTTACCGATCTTCCTTCTCGCCTCATTTATATTTTCTCCCAGGGCTTTGGCTTCAGAAAATCTGGAAAAGAGAAGGGGACAAAGAAGAAAATGGTCCTCCTGTTCACTGTATCATGCTCTACAAAGAAATTTCCAAGAGGTCTTCAAAACAGCATTGAACATCACTAAAAGACATATTAGGCTTAGAGATAAACCTCACAGGGCAGAACTTTAGCCATTTCAGCATTGGGTGTTTCTGCCCATATTCCCTAATTTACAATTTCTGATTTCTATCATTCTATCCTGCAAGGGCAGCAGAACAAGGCATGCATGTGAGGTTTCTGTGAGTGACCCGTCAACCACAGTACCCAGCGCTTACCCCCCCCCCCAAAACGCCATTACTAAGCAGCACATTAGAGGCTGGTGAGCTGTGACTGGCCAGAGACAAATCTGGGCCGATCCCTGTCCTGTAAACACAGGTTTACTGGGGTGCGGCCACGCCCACTCACATCTGCATCTGTGGTGGCTGCTTTGTGTCAGTTGTGCGGATGTGAAAGAGATGCTGTGGCCCGCGAAGATGAGACCACCCCCTGGCCCAGTCCTAGAAAGAGCTCCCTGACTCTTGTTACAGATAATTATTGAGGCAGATTTTGAATGTATAATTCAGGAAAAACAATTCCTAATAATCCCCTACTCAGAAATAAGTACATTTGGATATGCACACCCATCCAGTCTTCTAGCAAGCTTTACAGAGTGGGGTCACATGACACACATGGTCTTGTGTCTTCCTTTATTTGGTTTTCCTCAGCCTTGACAGTGGTTGTCTGCATGCCCTGAAACCCTTTCATGGACCCACACATGTCCACCGGGCAGCTGTTACTGTTTAGGTCTCTATTTTCTAACACAATCATGAGCCCCTCACCCTTGTGCTACCAAAGTGCATAGGAAATGGGTATCAGAAACGCACAGTGGGCCCTTACAAAAGGTGGGCTGCTTTTCCTTTCTCTCCTTTCTGTCATGATATTAAAGTGGCAGCTGAGAATCTATGAAACATGACCCATGGTGGCAGTAACACATGTGTAAGTATTGCCTGACTCACGGCAGTAGTAATATGTGTGGATGCTGGACACGGCATATGGCAGCAGTGAGTGGCTGTGCTGTCTTGGATAATACCAGTCATATTGCCAGGGTTTGACTAGGAAGGAGCCACTCTATAAGCAGGGTATATAGTTAGGCAAGCTTTATGTACAAGATGAGTTGGACCTAGGTCTTGTGGGTGCGTAGGAGTTTTTAGGAAACTTTTTATTCCGGGAAAATTTCCAAATATACACAACATAAAACTGTAGGGTGAATTCCCCTGGGGCTGCCACATTTCAGTAATTGTCCAACTTTATTTCAGCCACTTTCCCTCCTAGCTCTCTCCCAAATCTTGCTGGACCCCTCGATCCCAGTGGTCACAGCATTTTACCTGTGAGTGTGCCAGCTGCGCAGGGCTGCACTGGGGGAGGGAGGGAGGGGACAGCCAAGCCGTGGCCAGGCTGCGTGGCTGTGCTGTGCTCAGTGGAAAGAAGTGTGAATTATGTCGTTGCTATTTTCCAAGTCTGTCTGTCTACTTGGCCTGGGACTGCAGACAGGGAGTTTCCAGAGAAAGGGACTAAATTTTCTCTGTGCTCAGCTCCTTGGGACTCCACCCTTGGGTCCTTCTGAAGGCTGTCCCACTGAGGCTTACTGTGGCTTATGCAGGTCTTCTCACTCGGGGCCTGGCACCTTCTGGAAACAAGTGCAGTTTCCTGTGCTGCAAATGCCACTCACGATACAGGCACGGGAAGCACAGGTCACCCTGCTGGGCTCGATGGGGTCTCGACAGTCACGTAGCTGGGCAGGTGTGCTCTGGGCCAGGCCATTAAGAAGATGACAACCATAATTCTAAAGAGGGGACTGTGACAATGGTTGTTTTCTGTCCCCAGTGCCTAGGGCTTCATTTGATAGTCATGCCTTGCTTAGGGAATGCATCCAGCTGTAGTCTTTGGAATAGGAAAGCGTAAGAGCAAGACTGCAAAAATGAAACGCGCGCCCATCCTGGCCAAGCAGATGGCCATTTGCTCCACAGAGCTGCCCAGAGGTGCCCCAGCAGGCCAGGGCTGGCTTCGCAGGCTTGGTGGTGTCCAGATGTCCGGGGCCCTGGTGCTGTGGCCAACGCCCTGCTCCACTGCTGGCAGAAGCTGTGGGCGGCACCAGCTGCTCCTCTCTCCACTGTGGCCTGCCAGCCAGAGCTGAAAAGGGCCTTCCCACTGCAGAGGTGTGGTCCCAGGGCTGTGCCATCTTCCTGACAGCTTTCCTCAGCCCTGCAAGTTGTCACTGCCCAGGCTGCCTCACCCACATGTGTCCCCGATCCTCAGTCATCCAGACAAACTCCACAAGCCCAGTGTTGAAGAAAGAGGGGGCAAAGAGAGAGCATTGAGGGAGACGGGGCCGCAGGGGGCAGAGGAGAAGGCTAAGGAAGAGGGGTGGAGGTGGCCCCTGCAGCCCACTGTCCACTGCATCTCCATGTGTTCACCAGCCAGCCCGAGTCTCCCTGCAACCTGGGCCTGGGGCTCACCTGGAGGGTGCTGTGTAGCTGGGTACAGTGTTTGGTTGCCCCCACCCTCTGAGAAATCTCTGGGTAAGGGTAAGGGCTGGTCTGGGCAGGAAGGAGGAGCACAGCCTTTCAGCTAGCCCTAGAGACATTGAACAAACACTGCCACCACCCTGGGCCTGGCTATCTTGGGCAGCTCCTCCTGAGGCTCCCCTGCAGAGGTCTTTCAGAGCCTGGTCCATGCACGCTGGTGACCCTTGGGCTTTGGCCCCGACCCTGGCTCTCTTCAGGCATCCCAGGCCACCAGTGTCTCCTCTGTTCTCTGCCATACACTCCACAGCTCCATCTCAGCCCCGCCTGGTTTCTGACCAACACTCCCTGCTGAGTACCTGCAAACAACTACGATGCTCTGCACCTGCAAACACCCGACCGCCTCCAGACCCGGGGCTCCTTCCCAGCCCGTCATGGGCCCCAGAGTCCCCACTGGCTATTCACAGTCCTCAGGACCCCCAGAATGTGTCCCAGGGCTTCACGCTCACTGCTGCTCCTGGTCCCTGCTTCCTGACTGCAGGCTGCTCCCCAGGCCTCAGTGCTAAGGTGCCATCATGTTCCTCTCCTGTCTGGAGCTCCACAGAGCTCTGTGACCTCCAGGCAGAATCCAGCTCCCTCTGCAGGAGGACCCAGGCTCTCCATCACTTCGTGCCCCGGCTGGTGCCGACTCCCAGCTTTCCCTGCCCTCGACCCTTCAGGCTGGCCTGCCTCATTTTCCACTCCACCAAGGGTCACTTCCTGTCATCCAGGAGCCCTTGCTGTCCCCTGGAGCCTCTTTCTGCCCAGCCCATTTCCACCTAACCCCTCTGAGATTTCTGCTGGATGTTGCTGTCTCTGTACAGCGCTCCTGATTGAACAGTGGTGGACTCGCCCACCTGCACCGCAGCACGTAATCCTTCCTTCATGGGCAGAGCATATGCGCCATGCGAAGGACTGGATGACCTCTTGGATTCGCTTTCATCGGGGTCAGCTCTGGTGAGTCGGTGAGCCCCTGCACTTAGTTCACCCTCTCCTCCCTGGAGCCTAGAGCCGAGGCGTGCTCTGAGGAAGTGGTCCCCTAGTAATTGTCGAGTGACAGCAGGAAGGCTGCCTGGTGTGAGATGAGGCCAGGACCCTGCGCCACTCTGCCTCTTAGCAGCGAGGTTCTCGTTCATCATTTCCAAGATTAGGATGAGGCTGGGCTGCCATGGAGAGCACTTGCGTGCACAGGTGCTTTGTGTGTGTGGAGGCTGAGAGGGGCTTCAAGCTGGCCACAGGGGTGAGAATCATTCAGTGTGCAGGCGAAAGGATTGGGCCAGATCCCTGGAGTCAGTGATCAAGGGCAGCAGGTACAATTCCAACCTTCCCAACTTCAAGGGATGGGAAAGAATGGGGGAGGTGAGGAAGACCTCATGTAACATTTGAGACCAGCTCCTGGGCAGATCTCCTCCTGTCCTTGGTGTATGCCAGGCATCCCAGAGCAAGCAGCTGAGGGCCAGGATGCCAGGCTCTGCCCAGGGAAGTTAGAACCACACTGTTAACAGTGACAGGGCAGGAGCTGGGGAGATGGTTCAGTGGAATAAGTGCTTCCCTGGCAAGTGCAAGGGTCTGAGTTCAATCCCTGGTTCCGTAAAAAACAACAACAACAACATCAACAACAACAACAAACCTAACAGTGACAGGGCAGTGGCTGCTCTGATTGGAGGCCGACTAGACCTGCTGCTGTCCTGAGCCATGGGGTCCCCGGGAACCTCTGTGCTCATGGTCTCTGTCATGTCAGCGGAAAGTGTTTCTTTAGATCAGCAGGTGAGGGAGGTCAGTGTTGTCCAGGGCAAGAGGCTTCTGTGGTGTCTTTTCTAGTCTTGTCTAGAGTGAGTAACTTGCTATGTTGATTCTTTGTAGTGTTTTGCATCAGAGAGGAAGCTAGAAGGCTGGGTCTGTATTTTATTTTTCTCCATAAACCTATACATGGTTCCTTGGCTGCCTCCATCTGACTGTGAGGGAAATCCATCCTTTGTTCCTCTTGATCTTTTTTAACATCCACAATCCTTTTCGGTTTTGTCCCCTCCAAGATGGCTGCCCTCTCTTTTGTCTCCCATGGGGTGGTTCCTCCCAAACCCTGTTCTACTTCTAGGAAGTTTTAAGTTTGCCCAAGAAGTTTTCTGGCTGCTAACATTCCTCAAAGTCATTTTCAGATTATCATTCTCAAAGCTATCTGCCGGCCATTTCTGCATCCAGTGTGGTTTTTAAAACAGTGGGGAGGCTGAGAAGATTCTAGACGAATCTCTGCTCTCTGAGCGATACTTCTAGTTCAGCAGACAAGGTATAAATACATGAAATAAATGGAAAAATAGTAAGTGTCAGAGTTGAGGTCTCACAGGAACCAGGGAGCTCCCATTTGCCATGGGTGTTATTTCCAGATGGTGCCTGAGATTTTTCTGTACCCTCGCTCTCCTTTCCTGTTGGTTTCAGATTGCTGCTGTGTTGTGGGAAACACCCAGCCTAGCGAGTGAGCCTGCTTTTCTTGATTTTGTGCACATTATCAAGGCCTTTATTTCCAATTGCAGTTAATCTCCCCATTCATTTTTGTCTTTTGTTATTTAATGGTACTCCGCATCTGAGGGATTCAGTTTGTGCAAAGGCTTTGAACAAAAGAAATTTGGCTGTGCGTTGCCTGGGCACTGATATTTGCCAAGCATGGGGGCGCCAGCCTTTCCTGATATTATTATACACTATGTGGATGAGTCAGGCCTGGAAAATGGAGGCATTGTGAACTGCTATTGTCCTCCGCTGAAAAGTCCTGCTTCAGAGCTGGCTCTCAGGCTGGAGGTCATCACAGTGCAAACATCCTATTAATATGCCAACTTCTTGTTTCTGTGGTTGCAGACAGGCAGCACAAAGTCCCCACATAGGGGCCAGAGCTTAGAGATGCGCAGGCGTCCATGGGTGCAGGACAAAGGGAGGTGGCTTCTCTGAAGAATTCTGTGGCATGCAGGACACTCCAGCTCGGTCCTCTTACCTCAGGGAGCAGAGGGAACCAGAAGAGATTCAGGGTAGCTGATAACCTCTACCTTTGGGTGAGCCCCACTTGCTAGAGGCTAGAGAAGCTTTTGTGAGGGGTAATTAGTTTCGATCTTCCTTCCATGCACTATGCTAGCATGGTGTCACCGCCAGCTGGTGGGTTGTGGATGCTGAGGAAGGTGACACTTCCAGCAGAGAAGCAGTCACTGAATGCCACGCTGAGCCTGACCCTGGCGTGGGTATAGATGTCCACATGGCCCTGCTCTGTTACTGGGGGGCATGGAACAAACGTGTGGAAGGGGACAGGGCCACTCTATAGACATCCTAAGGAAGGGTGCTGTGGCTACCCCCGTGAGCACCTGGGCCTGCTTTCTCCTGGCATTTGGGCCCGGAACGCTGGCCACGCAGTTGTCATTATGCCAGACGCTCTCTCTTAGCACCTGCCTAAGCATCCATCATACATCTATAATACCTAGTAACTGAATACTCTCAGTGACGCAAACAACAGCACCAAGCCTGGAGCAAGGGTGGGTTCTGGGCTACACCCTCTGTCTCCTGGAGTACAACAGTGATTTAATGATGGGTATTACGGTAACATTAAACAGATGTAGAAATTTGTACCAATGTGGGTTGGTCTCCTCACTTCTCATTTGATTTTATTAAAAAGACTTGTTTACTGCTGGGAAAACCTCTTCTCAGAGGAAAGCTTTGCTTCATTGTCTTTGCACAAGAGCCATGGGGGAGAAGAGGCACTCCGCAGGACTGCACCCTGTTCCGTCCCGAGTGACCAGGTAGCCTTGAGCCTGAAGCGTGTGTGCCTCGTGGGCTGCCAGGCTGCCCTGAGCCACAGCCAGGATGGCTCGAGAAGCCTTTGGGAGGCCACAACCTGCCCGGCCTGCTTAGTAATGGACCTGCGCTCCAGAACGAACAGAACCGGGAACCAGGCCGATTAGACAGTAAGAAAGATAAAGCAGCACATTCCGTCAGGCATTCTTACACTGAGTGTGCAAAAGAATCAGCTGGTGATATATATATATATATATATATATATATATATATATATATATATATATTTCATTTTAATGAGAAAAAAGATAAAATAGCAATGAAACAGTTTCAAAACAGGTTAGTAGGACACTTACAGTAATTAATACATTGCATATTGTTGTCTTCATAGTAGTTATTCAGAGGATAAGATGTAGACATGGTATCTTGTCTAAACAATGTTAGTACAAACCTTTCTTCTCAATTAACTAAGAGAAAGTAGCTGTATAGTTGGTGATATTTTTAATTGGTAGCACTCTGGGGATCTTACCCCAGTGGTTTTGGATTTCAAGATTTCTGGGCACTGTGGAAGCACGTGGTTTTCTTTTGAGACAGGGTCTTGCTACGTAGTCCAGGCTGGTCTTGCGCCTGCAGTCCTCCTTCCTCAGCCTCCTGACTGCTGGGGCTGCAGGTGAGTGTTGGCACACCTGGCTCCTGCCAGTGGCTTCAAACCTTGTTGTTACTGGAATACATATGCTAAATAGTGTGCTCAGGCCCAGGTGTGAAGCCAGGATATGGAGCCGCCTGTGCAGGCTAAGAAGGCTCTGGCATGGACACGGCTCAGGGCTACCAGAAGTCCCGGTGGCTGTCACAGCTGTCATCTCTGCCTATCTTCAGACACACATGCAGGACAGTCACCCTGCTCTGACATGTCCAGCTGGCCACATCAAAATACACAGCTAGCAACAGGGATAGGCACAAGAAGGCGTGGACCCTGAGCGCCGGTGAGGAGAAACCATGTCCTCTCCTGGGTTAGGATCAGTGCCCCCCACCCTTCTTTCAATTAAGTTGCTCCTTCCTTCCTTCACACCCCATCCTGCGCTCAGAGTTAGGGTACCCTGAAGTGAGTCCTTTTGCTGGTGGGGTTCAGGCACAGATGTTGGGAGTCTGCAGAGAGCGCACCCCCTGCAATGCCGTGTTCTGGGTTTTGTGCTCGTGGGTGGGCTCTGTAGCTCCTCCTGCTCTGTTCGCATTCCCCCTTCTGGTGCCTATCCACTGCCCTGGCGATGGGCACCCGAGAGTGTCCTGCTGTTCCTGGCTACCAACGGGGCTGCGTGAGCACCCGGGTGAACATACTCCAAGGAGGCACTGCCGGGTCTTGGGACGCAGGAACCTCTTTCGGCTGACGAGACTGGACTGCCCTTCAGAGCTCCTGTGCTCTTGCCGCCTGCGCGGGCCACATCCGCTGCCCCAGCATGAGGGCCGCTCTGAGGGCCTGGGCCCCGCCGGTGCTGCCTGCCTTCCCTTCACCTTCGGGCTCCCTTCCCGGCAGCCACGCTGCCCCCCCCCATCCCCCCCAGTTTCACCCCAGTCGACAGCTTCTCACACAGAAGAGAAGGGGAGGCCAGCTGCATTTTCTCCCTCCACGCCTCCATGGATCAGCGCGCCTGTGTTTCTTCTCTGGGCTCCTTCAGGGCGAGCCTCCCTCTGGTCCGGCTCCCTGCACACCTGCCTTCCGGATGCTCGGCTCTCTGTCTCCGCCTTGGCTTTCGACCTTTCTCTTGCCACTCGATTCCTTCTTGGCCTACACAGTCTTGCCCAGTTCTCCATTAGAAAACTAACTTCATTTTTCTCCTTAAATTGATGGTTATTTCTCCTTTGAGAAAGTGTTTCCTAGTAATCCTTTTTCTTTGTGGAGGGGAGGGCCCAGGGTAGGGCTCCCCCTGAGCCGCACCCCAAGAACACGGTGCTCTTGCTCTCTCTGCTCCCTCCGTTCTTCTCGCTAGCTCCTGCACACCCCGCCTGCCCCCTGATGGTCTAGAGGCCAAGTCCATGTGCCTGCCCACTTCCTCCTGCTCACTGCTTTGTGGCATCTGGCACCATTGCCAGGTGCAGCTTCTTGAACATCCCCAAAAGCCTCTTGCGCGGGCTTTGGAAGGTGGTTGAGTTACAGGGCCACAATGGACTTGGGGTCAAGGAGGTGGGGCTTGGGCGGAGCCCAGCCCTGGGGGCATGGCCTGGCAGGTCTGTCGCTGCCTGCCGGGCTCCTCCCTGCCCCCTTGTGAGCAACTCTCCAGTGCCTCCACCGACCATGTGAAATGTGAGTCAAGTAAACCTCTTCCAAGAAGCGGTGGATGTCTGGTGCTTTGTTTTTGCAATGAGGAAAATGACTAAGACACCATCTTTCCGCTGGGCTTTCAGGACTCCACGCCCTCGTTCTTTCCCTTACTCCAACGCTTCTCTGCCTCCTTTCCTGGAGCTCTTTGCTGGCCTGCCTACTTCCCCCGCCTGCCTTGAGTGTGGTGTATAAGAATATCCTCTCTTCAGACTGGATCTTGCCGAGACTCAGCGGATTAGCTGGGAAGATGTTCCGTGGGCTAAGAGCTAAGCTGCACGCGAGCTGTGACAGCTCCCTGTGACAGTCGGAGCTCTTTCTCCAGGTGCTCAGGGCCACGCACCGGGCAGTCCTGTCCGTGTGTGTGGTAAATCCACACACACACGCTATGACAAATGATGCATCCTTCTAAGGGGTCTCGGACCCAGTCTTACTGGACAGCACATCAGCAGACAATCCTGGCCCGCAGAGCTCAGCAGGGGACTCTGGGTCACAGGATGGGCGTGTGAGTCCTTACACTAAGACAGGGCTGCTCTCCCCTGCAGCTGGAGTGCCGCAATGCTGACGTACAGTTAGGTCTGTAGATTTAGTCCCCGCCTCTGGAACAGAATGGCATCAGCAGCATCCCGGGCTGCAGGGAGGTGATGAACGGTGTGAGAACTGTGTTGAGCTTGGTACCCTCTGTAACTGGGCCTGTCCTCAAGCTCCTCACCCCGACAGTACAGGGGTGCTGAGGCACTCACCCACGGAGACAATCTTGCCATGCGGGACATGGTCGGGTTTGTCCCTCCCCTGGGCTGGCCCGGCTGAGCTCAGGAGGGCCAGCTGCTCTCCGACCCATCCTTACCTCTGCTTCAGAATCTGTTTGTTGTCATCGACGGTAACGCTGTCCGCGTGGTCCCTCTTGAAGATTTCAAAGGCCTCCTGGCGTCCTAATGACATTTCCTCTCTCATTCCTGTTTGGAGAACAGAAATGGCCTCAGTCACAACATCAGGATCCTATTAATTTCATCGTCACTTTCGGCAGACCGCAAAGCTGGCCCTGGCTCCACAAGCCCCACAGCAGAGCGGCTGTGACCAGACAGGTGGCCCCAGGCTTTTCCAGCTGGCCGCCAAGCAGCCAGCAGGCAGCGAGGAGGCCCTTCCAGGGCCGCTGCCGCTGCGCCCCCAGGGCTGCGCCTGCACAGCGAGTCCGGGAGACTGGGGTGGGGGTGGGGCCGGCATGTCTGGTGGGAGAAAAGGAGAAGCAGAGCACCAGGCCCTGCGCTTGCTGCCGCAGCTCAGCACTGCATTTCTCCCAGAGCTGTTGCCAGGCCCCGTGTTGGTTTTCTGGTGACTTTCACCCTGAATTTCCTGGTACTTGCTTGGTCACAAAAGTCATAAACTAGACAGAAAGATAGAGAATCTGGAAAAGCCCGTGCTCAGTTTCCTGAGCGCGATGCATCCCTGCTTCCTGCGGCTGGGGAGGGGTCCTGGTCCCAAGCTGGCTTGAGGTTCCCTTTCACAAGGCCTGTGATGGGGACCCCGAGCTTGTGTCTCACATCAGCACCCGAGTCACCGTCATTCTCCGCTGGGCCCCGCTCAGAGTTCTAGTTCTGGAGCCTGGAGTCAGAAAGCTGGTATGCTTGGAGCAACACAGTGGCATCCCTGTGCCAGGCCCTTGTCCTCACAAATTTCTAGGGTGGGGGTCAGGGCAGGGATGTGCCAGGAATTCTCAGCCACAGCTGCATTCACAGCTGGGTTTGAACAAATCACGCGTCTTTGCTATGCTTCTGTCCAGGGGCCACGTTTCCACCTAGTGCTCCGTTTATCTTTCCTGGAAACCCAAGTAGAACAAATCTGCCTCCAATGTGTTCCTTATTCATGACCCTGTGGCTTGCCTGGTCCAATACACACTGCTACTTCTTGTCACCATCGTTTCTCATTGTCACATGGAGTTTCTCAAGGGTAGAAATACTGTGTTGTGACTCCCCCATGCCCTGTTTAATGCCTGGCCTTGAGATGGTGCTCAACATTTGCTTGTGCAGTGAATGGGGGTCAGGAATGAGGGGAGGATGGCGAGCTACGCTCTGATTGCTGCAGGAACACAAGCCTTGCCTTTCGAGGCTCAGTGTGAGGACATGGGGGCCAGGGACTCATTTGTATGGGGACATGAACATCTTTTGCCTGGAAAAAACCCGCTGAGTCTCATCTCCCACCCTGGGCATGAGGGACCGGACTGGCCCATCTGACACCAATTTAATGATTACCGAGGTAAAAATAGCACCATGAAGAATGTCTGAGGGGAGACTCCCAATCGTGCCCGCCCCTTTCCAAGTAGAAGCAATGGCTGCTCCACATCTGTCCTGCAGCAGTGGGGCTGGGTGGACCTGTGAGTGCTGGGGCCCAGGAGATCTCAGCAAGGGACCTCCCCGGCCAGAGCCACTAGGAGTGGGGACCCGCTCCTTACTGCCCCGGGCCTAGTCTGTGTAGTGATGCATTACCATAGCAGCCAGTGGGCAGAGGGCGTGCGCCTGTCTGAAACAGAGAAGGGCAGGAAGGCTTCCCACAGCGGAGGTGGCCAGAAGGCTCTTCCAAGCAGGCTGCGGCTGGGCTAAGCTGGGAGGAGAGAGAGGGGCTTAGAAGAGGGAGGGGCGGCGAAGGGGAGGGACTGTGGCCTTTTCTGGTCCAGGTGTTCAGGGCAGAGTGGACAGTGCAGGAGGACAGTGGCTGGGAAGGGCCACACGGAAGCTCTACAGGGCTCATGACACTGCTGTGGCAGCAGGTCCTGGGAAAACTGACAGGCGCTGTTGCTCAGCTCTTCCCCGAGGCTGACAGGAGCAGAAACGATGAGGAGCCAGCATCGAGGTAAACCCAGGAAGGAAGCAAGCTGTAGAAAATCCTGGAGACCCTGCCAAGAACCCGGGGCCAGCAGCAGCTCGTGCAAACGCAGAGCACCAATAAAGGTTCAAAAATTAGTGAAGTATATACTGGAGGAAGGTTACTTTGGAAATATGTAATATAGTTGACAAATTAAAGGACACACAAGGCAAGGTGGGGTACACCTGGAATCTCCCCACTTGGGAGGCTGAGGCAGGTGGATCTCAAATTTGAGCCCTTCCTGGGCAATGTAGCAAGACCCTGTTTCAAACTAAAAAAAAAAAAAAAAAATAAAAAATTAAAAGCAGTGAGGCTGTGTCAGTGGGAAGGTTCTGGGTTCATCCCCAATAGCACAGGGGAGAGCAGGACACTTAGGGACCTGCCATGCCATGGGCTTTTCACCAGGAAGATGGCGGGGGCTTTCCTCCAGCGTTGTGGAGAGAAGGTTCTAGAATCGGAGTTGTTGATGGTGGTGACCACAGATGAGCGCCACAGGGGTGAGGACTGTCCTGGCAGTGTCCTAAGTGTCTGTGGGGGGCACTGAGGCCGCATGGCCGGTCTTATGGGAAGCAAGCAGGCAAAGCAAGGCCTAGTTGTGCCCAGAGCTCCCAGGTGGGTGGGCTCAGGGACTAGACCAAGGGTCCCCCGCAGCCCTTGGAGCAGGAGCCAGTCTCCATCTCAGCCTCTCCTCTCCACCCCTTTCTGCTTATTCAGGATCCACGTCTGGCCTGATTTGGGGCCACCCATGAAATTAATGAATGACTTTATTTACTGAAGCTCCGGCTAGACGGCTTTGGTCTGTGAGTACACATTGTGTGCGTTAGAAAGAAAGAACCAGCAGCAAGCGGGTGCGAAAGCCCACCTTGCTAATGAGGCAGTCATCGTGATTGTTTATTCTCTCAAGAAGTGTTTGTTTATCTTAGGCGTGGGACAGGGCTGCAAAATGGAACAGGAAGATGAAAGCTTTGATCCTTGTGTTTAAAGAGTTCAAAGTCTGCAGAAGGAGGAAGAAAAATGAAGGAATAATCTTGCTTGCTAGAGGGTAGTGTGTGACCTGCACCAGGAGACAGGGAGAGGGGACGAGGGAGGCTGCAGGGGAGGCAGGCAGCGCCTGGCCTTCATGGGAGCACAGGGAGAGCGCAGGCGGACAGGGCACAGGAGGTGCGGCGTAAAGGGCAACTGCAGGGAATGTCTTTTGAGTGCTTAAAAGTGGACTTTTTGCATAGGCTATGTGCAGCAGGGGGCTTTCTTGCATATTATTTCCGTCCAACATCTCTGTGATCTCTGTCCGCAGTTTCTTTTCATTGATGAGGAAAGTGGTCTAGCTAAGTAAATGGTTACAAGGGGTGAAAGCCACCCTGCATTTAGAGGATAGTGGGCCTGCTCTTATTTTCCCCCCAAGGAAAAACTCCTCATAGGGAGGTGAAGCAGGCGACACTCTGAAGAACCAGATAGTCCATTTCCTTGAGGGTAGACTCCTCTTTGTACCTACCATATCCAGAACCTTGATTTTCTTTTTATAGTATTACTGAAAAACAGAACCCCAAATTTGGTGACCAGCTCACTTGGCGTGTGGATGCATTCTGTCTGGTTTCTAGAGTCTATAAACTCTGTCAGGCAAGTAGTTTTGTTTGCAGCAATGATTGTAGCATTTGTCCAGTAGCTGTCACATAGGAAGAACTTGATCAAATGCCTTTGAATGAATGAATGAATGGATGCGTGTTTCCGGTGCTTTATGCATACCCCACGCACTGCTGTTCCTTCCCTAGCACAAACCACTGGGCAGGCTCATCACGCCTGTGTGGCGTGAGGTCAGAAAATTTAACACAGTCTTCTCCCTACTACCTGTCACCCTGCTCACCAGCCCTCTATTAGAGATGAACCCCAACTCTAAGATACTATTGCAAAACTACAACTACCCCCTTGAAGGGAACGGTATTTTAGGACTAGCCAAGAAAAATTTCATAATGTGTTGGCCAGTAGCTAAAGGTCCTGCAGAGCCGTCACAGGCTCCGCGACAAGGCTGAACCTTAGGAGTGCTGGCCTGCCGCACACATTTCAGCCCCTAGTTGTTTGCTTAGGTGCATTTCAGACCCAGCATCAACACAGACTCCTGGACAACGTGGATCCTAAGAGGAGCCTGCTGGCTTGCTGGGTCACAGGACTGCTCAGAACCTACAGAAGTGACCCTAAATCATACACCACATTCTAGGCTGTGGGTTAGGTGGAAAGTGTCTGCAACTCCCAAAGCTATAACCTCTTCTGGATTTTTAAAAAAATACCTATTAAAGAGCACTTGAGGGGCTGGGGAGATAGTTCAGTGGCTTAAGCACCTGCCTGGCAAAGGCAAGGGTTTCAACCCCGGTAGCAGGCATGGTGGTGTGCGCCTGTAATCCTAGAGCCAGGGAGGCTGAGGTAGGGGGATCATTATGAGTCTGAACTGTGTAGTAAGACCCTATATGAAAAAAAATAAATAAAATTTTAAAGAGCATTTGATAGAAATGACAGTCAACAAAGGGCTTTGGATCTGATTTCTGAAAACATCAGGCATCAAGATTTTTATGCACTGGTCCCTTACCCACTTAATGCATTCTTTATTTTTGTCCTTTTTAAATTCATGTCTTTATTTTTCTAAGGACTATAACCCAGGGCTCTTGGAAACTCTCCCTGCCCCCAACTCAGGGTCCCATGGAAACCGAATGGAAAGGACAACACGCCACGTGGCGCATTTGGGCCCTGCCCTTGGACCTGCTGCTGATTCCCTTTTAGCTCTGGAGCGCATGGACCAGAGCTTATTTTCCTGGCTGCCTCCAAACAACCTACTGCTGCTTAAGCTATTGCTTAAAAATTGACAAAAACCCTAAAATGATGGAGGGCTGTGTTATTCATGCTGAAAAATGATTTCCTGGTCGGAGCCAAAAGCATATTTTCTTTGGGAGACATTTAATGTACGGCTTCAGTTCCCTCCAACTAAAAAGAGAGGGGAAAAAAGACCAACAGGGAGTGACGAAAAGAGAGGGGGAGGGTTGCTCCCAAAGCGAGGGGATCTTGACATAGATGATCTGAGACTAAAGGCACCAAGCAGCGCAGTGCGGGG